AGAGATGTTTTGAGGTCTGAGAAAAAATTCGGTTACCTTGCTATATCATGAACCCTAAGACTCTAAGCCTCCCTAGCAGAGTTTATTTCTTGAAGTCAAAAATATTTGTAATAGGTAAAGAAGTTGCTTGCTGCCTTGTGTATAAGGCTGGGGCCATAAAAGTGAAATACTTCAATCCTGAAACATTTACATGCAGTACACGGAACAGAACCACCTGAATCTGGAACGAGTCTTCTGAATAATGCTTGTTGCAGGCGAAACCGGACTGGACTACAACACTGTGCTAGACCAGTACTTTTTAGAACATCCCAAGTGCAATAAATATTATTCTATGAATCTGTTATAAAGCCTAAATACATAAATGAGCCTGTAAAAAGAGGGGTAAGGTAAAATCTTGTCAAAAATGCAATGGTAGATGAAGAGGTCCTAAGAAAAAGAACTGAACTTAGGAGATATTATCTCTAAAAGACAAATAAGAAACTGATATTTCAGTCCATACTGTTCAAAGTTGTAGTCCATGTATTTTCAAACTAATAGTGCACCAGTGACTGTGCTCATGGGTGTAGTGTTTTTGTTGTCAAGATGATTTTTATCAACAGGCAGTCACATCTGATCTGAAAATAGTTCTGAATTCTGGGAACCTAGAGGAGAATCTGAAAGGTAGTTTTCTGGAATCACATATTTAGATATGGGGGAAGTAAACTTAATTGTTAATTTTCTTTACTAAACTATAGATATTTGATCATTTTTTGAGTGATTATTGCATTTTTTTAACTAATATAAATATGAAAATCACTATTATCAGCTGTAGATTTGGAAGTGATTTGATTTAAAGAGGGCTCTTCTTTACTGAGAGTACTTTCTGTGAGATGAGAGAGATTAAGTGATATTTTTAAAGAACTACATGGTTTTCAAATTGTAGAACATTTTAAAAATAAAATAAGGATACATTTTGTAATAGATTATGACCTGCCACTACTTGAAGAAAATATTAGTTTGCCTTCAGAATTACAGAACTTCTTATTTTGGAAGTCAGCAGGCTAATAATCTATTTCTCTTCAGTGTTGTCTCATTTAAAAGCCTGCTAAAGAGAGCAATGGGGAAAAAAAATCACATGGACAAATTTAGAAGTTCACAAATGCCAAGTGGGAAGGCTTCACAACTGTTGTAAATTGGATGTTTGCACATTAGAGTGTGAATGCTGATTTTAAGCTTTCTGTCGGGAATTTTGTATGCTGTGTAATTGGCAGGTGAGAGCTGTATTCCCTTATTAGCTTCCCACCTCTGTTACTTCCTAGGCACAAGACTAGACAGGGGTGAGAAACAGAACATCAGTAATAGAAACCAGGAGCTGGAAGTAGGATGAATGTTGGGAAAATTGGAGCTGTTGCTAAGTCCTGTTTGCTTTGCTACATGTAACAGCTCACTTGGAAGTCAAACTGTTCAATGCATGTTTAGGGATTTTGCTTGACGGTGATGTTTTTGGGACTATGTGTTTTGTTCAGTTGATGCCTGTGATATTTGTGCCAAAATTTAGTGTATTAAGAACATTTCTGGCACCTTACAGACTGGCATTGTATGTGCAATATTCCATGGAGCAAATGTACTTTAGGGTGTTGTTTTTGTAGTCATTTGCCATGTCTCTAAGGAAGTACCTGTGGGGTGTGTACTGCAGACCAGAGGCTCAGACACTTGATGTCATTGTAGAGAAGAACAGCTAACAGTTCTGTATCGCTCCAGAAACCATCTGCTCAACAATGCTTATAGCTTTTATAAAGTTTCAGAGGGTTAAAAAGTAAAAATTAATTTTGGAACAAGACAATAAAACCCTGAATGGGGATTGTGTTCATATAGATGTCTTATGCAAAAGTACCCCTTTGTTATGCTTCAAGGAGAAGTTAATCATGGTCTGACTGTGTCTGTGATGTGAAGTTTTTGTCTAAGTTTTCTTCCTTCAAACCTTAAAGCACCATTGGTCACCCTGATATTTCTGCCATGCCATCAGTTTCACTCTCCTGTTTAAATAGCTTGCATTTCAGTTATGGTATATGTTATTTTTTAAATATGTGCAGTGTTGATTTAAAGTTTTCTAAGCTGTGAGAAATAGACTACCTGCTCTGCTTGATTACTTCCACCTTGCCTTTATTGCTGAACATTTATTTTACTGATTTATGGTAAGAGTTTGCAAGGATGTGAAAGGGCAGGGCTGTGCCTGTATGCAGACCAAGTGCCTATTCCAGTGAATTATTTCCACTCACTAGAAACTCTCCTGTTGCTATCCATACTAGTCATTTTATTGACAATTATAGTCAAGTGTTAGTATTAACTAAGCTATTGGAATTCCTGATTGTTAAAACCAGGTTTGGAATTTTTTACATTTATCTGTAGCATCTGTGGTTTTTAAATCCGGCTAGAACAGTACCCTAGGAAGAGATTTGCTTACCAATTTGCAGCTTAACATTGTTCTAACTCTGCTGCAATCAAAGAAGAAAACAAGGGAGATAAGGTTTATACATTTTTCCAAGTTTGTAGATATTTGATGTTGAGATAGTCTTTTTAGGAAATGGTTGTATTGCCGAGGTCTGCTCAGTAGAGGGAAGGTTTGCAATTTTAAAATTCATTCATGAAAAGAGTGTTATAATATTGGATTTGTGTTAAGACAAGTAAAGCAAAGGCTGTCTCTGACAAATCTAGGCATTCATTTTAAGCATTGTTTTGAAACACATTTTGTGTTTTAAATCATGAGTTACAAATAATGGTCGGTTTTACTGATAAGATAATGATATATTGTTTTTTAAAGGGGAAATGAAAAATGACTTTTGAGATAAAGACACTAGTTTCCTCAATTATCACTGTGACTGCTTTCCATGAGGAGATAGGAGGAGAAATACAGCATGTTTAGATTAAATATTTAACGCTTTAAAAATATTTGAATTGTCAGTAGTGAAAAAACAGTGTTGAGCACAATTTTCATTCATGATGTATTGTGTTAGCATAGGAGATATGTTGATACACTGGCAGTGTAGAATTTATGACAGGACTGTAGGTAAAATGTTCTGTTTGCTGTTTTGCTGCCAAACTTGACAAGAAGCAAACATAAACTATCAAATATCAATGTAGGTGGGAATTTTTTCTCCCATAAAATCTAACATGTAGTTGTTTGTGGATCTGCTGATCTTGGAATTGCTCCTTTAACTAAAGAGTTAAGAGATCCACTCAAGGGTTCAGTGTAATAGGTGGGATGGAAATGAAAAATTCCAGAAGGCTCCAGCTGCTCACTCAGAGCTTCCCAGGTGGTGGGGCAAGTGCTTGTGAGCTCAGTACAGGTAGCTTGCAGTTTGTTATACAGGCAATGGTTCAGTTGTCATGGGAGGAACAAGCTGAGAGTCCAGGCTTAGTTAGCACAGGTAGTTGTTGTTCAAAATGAAGCTGAGACAAATACCTCAAAGACAGGAGACTCCTTGTGAAAGACTGAGGGCTTTCAGGGATTGTGTGCTGCAGGCAATTGTTAGGTACTGTTTTCAGAGACAGTGGGGGAGAGAAGCTTAGGATAGCCTTTGGTATTAGAGTGTTGAGGTGAATGTTTCCAGCACTTGACAAGTACCTCTCTCACAGTGATAAACTGTCAGGCTTTCTGTGAGGGCCAGTGCTACTACCTGTTTGATCAGCTGCACCACCCTCTTCTTCTGGATGCTTTCCTCCAATACTTGTCCTTCACAGCAGACTTAACAGGTTTCACACTTGTGAGATGCATTGCCAATGAGAGGTACTAGTAGAAACATTTTGCAGTTTTGTAGTATGTTAGGTAGGTCTGTCACTGTACGTGTTGTAATCTGTGAAAACAATGTATTTTGGGAATGATTTGCATTTTCTTGGTGCTGGTGATGGACATGTATACTTAGAGATGTAAATTAAATAAGGAATTTGCATTTACAGAGAAAGAAGTCGGAACACTTGCTTTTGCAGTGATTTAAACACATCCCTGTTCATCAAATGTAAGGCTGTATTCTGTGCTGGAAGATGTGCAATAATGCATTTATTCATAAACTTTGTCTCACAGATTACCTTGCCCATTAAGGGAAATTGATCTTTACACTGATTTTCCATATGACAACCTGTGTGTCCTTCAGAAAGTTTGCTGTAGTCTGAAATAACTAATTCCTTTAAACTGATACTGTGTTATTCTATAAGTATTTGTACCACTCCTCTTTTTCCACCTATTAAACTGACTGTGGTGTTATTTAAGAGAAATTAGATGGCTTTTACGATTGGAGTACATGTGCTGAGAGATTTAGCCTGGAGAACCAATTTGGAGTTTGAGATTTAGGTATCTTCTAATTTTTTTTTCTTTTAATTAGTGAAGAAAATGAAAGCACACTAGTTAGTGTGCTTAATACTCTTTAAAATTTCTGTGACATTTACTGTAATTTCAGTTATTACAGTAACTAGCTGCTTTACATGCATTTTATAAGTTATTTATAAGTTAATTGTATAAATTTTTGCTTTTAATTACTTGTTTTGGTTATTGCTCATATTAACCATTTTTGCTAACCCATGAATAGCTAGCTATGAGCTTAAATACTTAACAGCTCTCAATGTTTCTGATTAAGTATATTGAAGATGATTATTATTATATTATTATCATGATTAAAGACTCTCCTGTTAAATGTATGGATAAGTGTATACCTGTGAATTGATGTGTTAGAGATTTCCTGTGGCTTCAGGTGGACAAGTAGTGAGGACACCACCTGAAATTTGTGCAGTTTATTTCTGCATAAGTTGATACAGTGTTTCACACTTTCCATTGAGCTGACTTATCATTGAATTAGGTGGCACCTCAATGAAAATCAGACTTTATGTATGATTGTTCAAATTCCACCCAACACCAAAAAGCATTTTTAGTTAATCAAACGATCTGTGTTCCGTTCATAAACTTTTCCCCTATTTTATTTTGTTTGTTTTATTTTGTTTTGTTTTAATTTTATTTCTATTTTTTTTAGTGAGTGACAGTTGCTTCAGGAACCTTGCCGAGGATCGTAGTGGGATAAACCTTAAAGATCTGGTCCAAGACCCTTCTTTGTGAGTATCTGGCTCTTATTGCTAAGCAAAGAAAAGCTTCTTCCTGATATCCTTGTGAGTAGTTTTGTAATTATATAAAGAAGTAGTATGATGAAGTACACATAATGCCTTAGTGGTTTATGGTTGTCAACTTGTTAGTCTTTAATACAAGCAAGTATTATTAAAAACACCTTATTTTTAATATAATTCTGAAGTAACATCCAGAGAGCACATACAGTAAAGGGTTTAAGAGTCATCAGAGGGTAACAGATTGTGCATACAATTCCTCTATAGAAATACTAGCATGCACATTGTTGCCCCCCTTTTTTTAAGGCGGAATTGCATATAAATTAGAATATTACTGGATAATTGTTATTGTCAATTACCTTAATCAAGAATCTGTTTTCTTTGTATCTGATTTTATACAGCTGATATGTGTTTCTTCCCCTACTACCTTTTTCAACTTAAGTATATGTGTACATCGTCTAAATTTTGCTTCATCACAAGCCTGCTTGGTCTTTATCTTTCTCTAAAATCAAATTCAATTTCATGAACTTTGAGCTGGACTTGAAATTGTATCAGACCTTCTTGGTCATTCAGTTTTTTGTTTGTGGTTTTCTTTTGTTCATGGGGTTTTTCTTCTCATCTGTTAACTTTGGTACTAGCTGAAAATGTTCTTGCTAGTGTGTGAGTGTGACAGAAAAATAAAAAAAATTTGCATCTTTTTAACATGAATGACAGTGCATTCCACAGTGAGCTCTAATGTGCTGGTCCTTGCTGCTGAAAGAGCAGATTTTTCAGTACTGATTGAAAAATAGTAAAAAATAAGGTGCATTTGGCATCTTAGTTTAGTTACAGGGATTTATAGTAATTGTGTAGATATAGAATTTATTTTGTCATGTTGCTAGAGGTAAATGACATAAATGCACATGTACATGTATCCTTGGGCGATTTTGATAATAGTGTACGTGATGATTTATACATTTGAAATAGAGGTACAAGAGGCAAGTATAATTGTTGCTTGATATGTAAAGAGTGAATGCAATAGATAAATTTTTAATAGTTACTGTTTAAGTGTTGAAGTCAAAGCTATTTGAAAGGTCCTAATTTTCAAAGTTTTTCTGTTGAGTGGTGTCTTTTGAGTATTTTGGTTGGTTGGCTTTGATTCTTCATTTGTTTGCTTCAGAATTTATATGTGGGTTTTGCAGCTGCAGGTAGGCTTGTGTGTTACATATAATTTTGGGCTTGCACCTTTTGAGTTTACTCTCAGAAAGTTTAAATGCCTTTGTTGTAGAAAACTATTTTCTATATTTTTTACCAGAAGTGATGGAATCTTTTCATTTTCTTCCTTGACCATAACTCACATGAAGAATATTGTAATAAATTATTGTAATGTTCAAAAGAAATTAAATAGATTTCTATTTCTTATGGCACAAGAAGCACAAGTGACAGCAATGTAGCCATTTTTGTCACTTTGAAAGACTGAATAAAGTCTCAGCCCTTAGATTTCAAGGGCTGCTTATGATACTTTGCTATATGACAGATTACAGTTCAAGAAAAGTGTCCTGTTTCTGCTGAATGATAGGAATATATAGACTTGGGTTTGTCTTTCCAAATCTATATTCTTGCTGTTTTATGACTGAGCACCTATTAAGAGTTCTTGCAAAATGTGTAATGGTGTGAGAGAATCTCCAAAATGAAGAAACCATCTAAGGCAATATTGTTCAATGCAGCCTTCTGTAGGTGACTTTTAAGGTTCTATGGGATCTGAATTCTTTGTTATGCAAAGGACAGTATTGGGATGAAGCATGGCAGTGCCAGACAAAGAGATGCTTTAATCTTTTTTTGAAATAAAGAATAAAGTTTAATTAAAATCTTATGCCTATTTGGCTATGATTGATGCCTGTAATAATACCTGGAATTGTAAAATAGCATTTGCTTAATCCTCTTACCCATTTAATGTTTACACTTTAGAATTTCTTTAGTGCTCATTTGTGCTGACTGTAGATGCACTGCCTCTTTTCTTGATAATCTCAAATGCAAACATTAGATTTGCATAAAAAATTCTTATTCTTTCTCTGCAAATGGCTGTGTCCCTCTTAGTTTGCCACTCTTGTCTCTGCAGCAGACAACTTCTCTTTTGTTATTGCAGAGGGCCTTTTTTTTTGGACAGCTGAAAGTGTGTCTTTACCTTGAAATGAAACTCTGTAAAATAGACAGCATTGTTGGTTTTTTTCATTAATTTTTAATTTATATCAAATATGCCTAATTGTCAGAGTAGCCTTTTTTCCCCGGGTGATTTCCCAGCTGGAA